CAGGTGTCCTGAAGGAACATGCAGGGCTCCTACATATGCACCATTCTTACACAGGTTATCTTTCTTCACCCAGGTTCAAATTAGAAAATACAATCCCTTCCCTTGTAAAATAAAAAAGAATCTTCAAGAAAAATAATTCATTCTCTGATCGCTTTTCTACTTATAAATATCCATTGACTTCATTAGAAATACCCTCCTCTCGTGTTGCTTTGCATGAGGCATACCTAAGCCTTCAGCAGGCTCAGTGAACCTCTGCTGACTTGTATTATTTGAAAGTGTGGGCCTTTGTGCATGAATGGAATATACATTATATCTTTAATAACACAGAAATAATTTCAATCATTCTTTATTCTCCTTTTCCTTGGCCTGCCTGATTCGATTTTCCCAGCCTGTTGCACTGCCATTCTGACGTGAGCTTAGAGACCCATGAATTATGGTGGCTTCAGTGAGGAACCAGACTGCCATTGGTAAAAAATACAGACTCACATATTTTGAATTTCTGTATTTAAGTCCACTCATACATGCTTTGTAGCTCAGGCTGATAATCTCCAGAAACTTACTGTGTGCTAAAATGAGGAATTCTAGAAGCCATTAAAAATAGAATTATGTGTTGAAATTAAAGGACTCTTCAGATCAAAAATGAGGCACTAAGAGGGAAGTTTAGTTATAAATTTGAGCAGCTATAGGATGTGGTAAAGCATTTTATATTTTTGGAAGGCAATGTGGATAGCAGCATATCTGGTTTCTGAAAGAGTTTGAGATTTTCCAGGAGTGGAACTGCGTAAGCGCAATTAAAGCTGAGAGATGGACAGCTATGCTGGTGACCACAGTAAATGCTATTTTGAGGTACCAGCCAATGTCACAGAGTTTATAAGCATCATTTGTCAGAAATAATGATAAGGAAACTTTTTACATCTAAACTGCTATGGGAAACTCCCGGTGCTCTTCAGATTTCATCTCATTCCAGTTTCTCAATCTGGATCTGATTCAAGACTTTCAAAGTTCTTGTGTCTGGATTTCAAAGAAAATTAACTAAGATCAGGGACAGATAGCAAGATCTAGAGCCAGTCTACTGATGTGCTGAGATCCCATGAATCCATGTGAAACCAGCTTCTGCAGTGCCAGCCCCTGCTCACATATTTAATGGGAGTTCAGAAGTCAGAGTTTTGGGTCCTTCTCTGCTTTTTTCTGTCCTCATATTGTTGTTTTTATTGTTTTACTCAGGGCAGGTCAACTCCTGTCTCATCTATGACAACAGTCCACTTAAAACTTTCTTTGCAGATCAGAGCTTGCAGTTTCTAGGGGAGAGCAGGCTAGAAGAAAGGATAGAGCTCGGATACCCCCCAAAGGCAGAGTCCAGGGGAGCAGAGCCTGATCCTCCTGACACTACCAGGGCAAAACCCAACAGCTGGTGCCTCCCCACAGTCCCAGACCCTTTCTCATCATCAGTCACCCAGACTGCTTTGCCTCCAGGCTTGGAAGGGTAGAAAGTGAGCAATAGAGCCATGACTACTTTTGCTAGACCAAGAACCTGGCCTCTCTGGAAAACTCATTGTTTCATTTCTGCTTCATTTCTTGGTTCTCTTTCCACTCAAGAAGTCAATCAAGTACAGAACATGGTCTTTATTGCCCCAGTTAAAGCTGTGAATCAGAGTTACCTAATTTAACTTACCTAATGTAAGTTTTCAGAGTTCCTGTGCCACAACAGCCCAGCTAGGACCAAGTTGTTCCTAACATCTTAGGTCAAACATCAAAAATCACTAGTTACAAACACTGAAATCTCTGCTCTTTTTTTTTTTTTTTATAGGAATCCTAGAAAATGCCTCACACATTGCTGGTTTTAACTGCCATATAAGCCAGCTGGCTGTGTATCTCAAATAGTTTTTCAGGAAGGTAGTACAAGACAGCCATTGCAGTGGGCTCTTTTCATTGAAAACATTTCCCTCTTTTTGAGAAGAGACCTAAGTGTTGCCTAGAAAAGGAAATGGAGAAAAGTGCCAACTTTTTCCTCTCTCTTATTTTATTCTTTTTAATTTTCTGTTTTTTTCTGGAGTGCCCATTTGGCAAATTTCATTGCATAATTCTTGTCAAACAGGCTTCAGGTTTCATTTTCTTGCCCAGCAAGGGGAACCAGCAGCTGAGGGGGACAGCAGCACCTGGTGAGCACCATGTGAGCCAGCAGAGGTGGGGCTGGAACTTGGGTTCGTCACACCGGGCATAGGAGCTCGGACACACTGCTGTCCTTGCAGCATAACCTGCAAAGCCTGACAGGACATTCACTGCATTCCTTCTCTTCCTGGGACACTGCAGTCTTCCAGAGTGTTTTCTAGCTCTTACTGTTGTACACAATGGCCTCTGGTTTTGCCTCGTGCTTTCTGGGTCACGAGCTATTTGAAGACTTTTCTGATAATCAGCCTGGAATTACCCTATTTTTTTTCATCCCACTGCTCATGTAATACTTCTCTCATGACATCTCAGGTATGAGCATAACAAAGAGATGTTTTTGAAGGGGAAGAATTAGGCATGCACAAGGTAACTTGGACAAGTTACATGTGGATTGTGTAAGTGATCTATCTTCACAACCATTCTTGAACAGGTGATTTTCAGGGTGAGCATGTGAAGAGGTTGAGATCTTGCTCCTGTAGCAACTGTGAATGCCTAGAGGACTGAGTCATGCAGCCTCCAATAGTGCAGGCAATAAAGGGTTATAAATTCTGAATTCTCCAAACCCCCACACTTCTCCCTCAGCACTCTCCTCTTCACTGTACTGTGTGATGGACACAGTGGTATCTATTTCTACTGTACAGGACCAGGGTCCATCCCACTTGTAGCACACAGATTGGATCTAGCCTATGGGAAAATTTGTGCCTTGCACTGGGATAGGCGAGGTGGGACAGTGTAGGAAGTCTTACAGGTATTGAATACCTTTTAATTCCTTACAGTTCTGGTTGCTTTGGCCCATTAGACACTTCCATGTTCTTATGGAAGGAGGAAGTTGTCACAACAGGTTTCTAACCTGTTGTGGTTGAAACAGCTAGTGAATGTACTATATGAGATCAGCATCACTGTCTTCTGGGAGCACCACTGTATTTTACCATAGGTAAGCAGGTGAGCAGGTGGAAGTGAGGGGGTAAAACTTGTTCAGGGTGAGTCAAAACCCATTTTAAGAGAACAGTGGACAAGAGATGTAGCACACGGAATAAAAATGACAGCAGCAAACATCAGAGGCTTGTCTGTTATCAAGGTTAGAGTTTAAACAGCAAAGTTTTGCCTGTGGCTGTGGTCATAAGCTTGGGATCATGTGCTGAGTCATAGACATAAGATGGATGAAGGAAAACTGACAGCAAGACAGACTTTCTTCTGGCATATTAGGTATGCATGTTTCATCCTTGACTACAAGGGATGCCTGAGACGTAACAGGGCAGTTCATATGCTCAGCCTGCTTGGCTTTTAATTGTCCAGATGGCTGGAAGTTAAAACAACTGGTGCCATTAAGGGCTACTTGTAACTGTCCTGAATGAGTTCAGCTCTGGTAGGAACTGAAATTAATCTATAGGATCATATCACATAGTCTCCAAAATGTATTTGATGGCCTGCAGTGGACATGAGCCAGTAATTATACTCAATACACCTTCTACCAATCATGGATTTTGGGGATGGTGATCTGAAGTAGTAGACTGAACTGTGCCAATAAACTTCCGGTGTCATCTTGTGCCTTGATGTCAGCCAGGAAGAATAGGACTTAGGTATAGCATAGGTAATGACTAAATCCTGACTTTCTCAGTACTGCACTTAGAGAGAATGATAATATGTCCCCTTCAAATGCTCCCTATACAAGGTAGACCACAGAAGCCAGCTGGAGTCCCAGCTACTCTGTGTTGTCATGAGACCCTCCTCATTAGCCTTGTGACTTGTTAAACACAATTCTGTCAAACTTTGTTCTCCAGCCTGCCATTACTCAGATACTAACTAAACCAACACCCACCAGCTCCCTTGGGGATCATTACATCTCTCTGCATTTATGCTGTGGCAGCAAAAGTCTAAGCTTGGATTGTAATCATAAAGAAATTAATTTCCTGATTAAAAATGGTCCTTTAAGCAACATGCATTTGAATAATCCATCATAAAAACAAATGAGTCTGCAGCAGTGCTCTTGACTTGATAATCTTTTTTCTGCTTTAAATTTAAATCAGCTGCATTTTTTTTTCTCTCAGTCTGTAGCCTATAGAAAAATACAATGAATTACTAAAAAGAAAGCAATAGTTTGAAACTGCAATAGCCATGGTGTAGAATATATATTTTAGATCTGTCACTGCAAGATAGATTTGTATGTCATGGACCTAATAAGATACCCTTCAGGCAATTCCACTGACATTAGTTGGGTTACAGAAAAAGTAAGTTAATGCAGAAAATTTGGCTTCAGATATTTGCAAAGTTTTGAAGATAAAAGACCTGTACATGCCAGAGTTGATATAATTCTTCTGTGGCAAAGTTCCTGTTTAATTCAACAGGAGCTACTGGATCGGGTCTGATGAATGTAGCAGAAATGTGAACATTTCTGAAAATAATGGCACTTTGGTCATTTTAAATATTGTATATTTCTCCCTATCTGTAGATGCAAAGCAGACCATTAACAGTTCACAATAGGTGCCTACTTTTAAACAAGTCCCTCAGTTTGTATCTCTTAGCTGTTTTCATTGTGTGGCAAGCACAAGAAATAACAGAAGATTTGTGTGGCTGGAGAAAGATGCAAAAAGACACCTCTAACTTATATGAAAATATGTGACACTGTTCCTGAAACTAAAGAAATGAAAATTTAAATCTCCTTGCTTCTTCATTTTCCCCCCATTACAGTTACAGTTTACTAAATGTTTGTACAGTCTAAAATATTTCACATCTTTCATGTCCAGCCCATGCCACAAGCCCTCCAAGTCTCTATTGATAAAAAATCAGCCTTTATCAGCACTGGTCTCAGCATTAGCAACCTGATAATTCCTCACCTTTTGGTCCAGGTAAAATTGTGTGTGTTGAGCAGACATCTGTTGTAGGTCGATTATCAACATCAAAACCAAAAATCTGAACTTGCAAGATAAAAAACACTACAAGGGTCCCATATTTCCTTAGCTGTTGTTCTTTCTTGCTGCTCATCCTTGCAGTTTCTCAGGAAATGCCTTTCGTTGTTACAGTCTTAAGAAATGCAGCTGACTCAAAAATAAATGCTTCACTAACTAGAGCAGTGAAAAGCTTGGGAGCTACATGCACGAACAGCTAAATAAAGTGAAGAAAGTTTGACGATGCTGCAGTTATTTCTGTCCTGCACATTATCCAGGATATTTATTTAACACTGACAGCTGTTTATTCCAGTTTATCTCTTATCTGTGAGACATTTAGCTGCTTTTGCCATGGAAAATTTCTCCGACATATGGGAATATCTCTCATAATGTTTTTCCTCTCATCACTGATTCTTCATGCCCAGCTTTTTACTTACTCAAGGGACAAAAGACTTTGGTATTGTATCCAAGTGTGTACTAATTAGTTATAGGATACATTTGGCTGGTTGTGTGCTGGAAGAATAAAGCAGACTGCATATAACATGTAGAGATACTTTTCCATAAAAGCTTTCCACCAAGGAGACTGTTACTGACAACAGATGAGCTGCCAGTCCACTGTGGGTGGAAATCACCAGTGACACATCTCACCTTTTGGATGCTGGGTACGCACAGTCCCCAGAGCAGCAAATGAAAAGTTGATATTACCCATGGGTGTTTTAGCCTGAAACCCACAAATGATGGGTTTATGCTTACATAATACAGCTCCACAATGCTAGCCCCAAGCCCAGATCATGTTGGTAGACATAGTACAGAATGGACGAACTTCAGGACAGAAGACACAGAAGAAGATGAGCTTGAATGACTGCATCACCTTCTCCCTTGTCACTCTTCCCATGGGAGAGGCCATATATGGGGACAGTGGTGTAGCACAGATCCCAACAGAACATTATCTTTGGGTGGTCCAGAGGAAATGCCAGCTGGTTCAAATCTTGAGGCAACCTTCAGGTGTTCATCTGGGTGCTGGATCCCTGAAACCAGGGTCGGAGGCCTCTTGGGTGGAGGAACAGATTGCATGCAATCCTTCCTTTTGGAAGGAGCTATGAGAGATACCTGCCTGTGTGCAATCCCTTCCTGGAAAAAACTCTGGCTTTCTCTTAAGGAGAGCACAGTAAACAGGGATAGGAGGATGTTCAACATAGCCTGGCAGAAGAGAAAGGAAAGATGACTATTTGTAATATTTCCAGGAATTTTATTAACTTCTGGTTTCTCAAACAATGAGACAGCTACTCAAAAAGCTAAACTAGGCTTTTGAACTGTGTAGTGTGTGAGAGTGTGTTTGCTTTCTATTCTAGGAAAGACTGTATTTCCCGTGTTGATAGTTTTTGAGAGGCTTTGCTCATTCCTTAAGAGAGTATCAGTTCCCTGGTCCTATGTTTCAGTCTTTGGGCATACAGAGTAAGTAGCAGTACTGATGTAAAAGTGAAATCCTTTATTTAAAGCCTGAGGGAGGGCTCTGACTTCAGGCTTTCATCTATGATAAAATGTTGGCCAAAGTCCCAAGAAGGGTCAAGATACTCCTCTCCCTTTTTCTTTCTAGCCTGCTCACAGACTGTCCCCCTTTCCAAAACACTTGTTTTTTGTGTGTTAAACTGTATACAGTGCTTTTCAGAAATAAATAGTGGTCTCTGTCCTAAAGAATGTCATCTAACTTACCCCCTCAAATGTGGCCTTGATAACGGGTACACACGGCTAGAGGGGGAGGAAAGACAAAGCCAGGATTATAGTTGAGTAGAGTCCTACCAGAAATAAACTTGTTCCTCTGTGATTTGCATTGGGCACTGTGCCTCTGACTTGTACACTGTAAATCTGTTTTATTTAACTTTTTCTGCTTTTCACTTTCCATTTTGTGAGCAGAAGGTCAATGTAAGAGCAAGAATAGAGAGCGTAGGAGTGGGAAGCTAGTGTACTTAGGGTTGGAGGAGGCATTTTGGGAAATGTTGCCAAACTGACATGAATGATGCTATCTGTTCCACGGCACTGAGAGACTTACAGTGACTTGTTTGTTATTTATCAGGGATAAAGAGGGGTAAGTGAGAGAGGAAACCATTTGTTTAACTACTTCAGTTACTATCTGGGACTAAGCAGGGAACATTTTTCTGACAGTGGTGTGATCATTTACAAATGTTTTCATTCCACATTCGAAAAGAAATCAAGTCTCTACTCTTCCTTGGCCCCCACCTCCCACACCTACCCCACCTTCTATGACAGTCACAAGCCCCCTGAAAATACTGTGAGAAATTAGAATTAATGGATCTAAAAACTTGGTAACTGAAAATACTTACTCAAAATGTAGGAGATCCAGATTTTAATTATTTCTCTGTCTAGTTCAAACTGGTGCTTGCAGGAGAACCATAAGGTTATATTGCCTTATTACAAGGATGTGTGCTAATCAGTTATGTCTTCCTGTGTGTTGGACCAGGAATGCTGCCCTGGAGCTAGAGAACCTGCCTTAATTGGCAATCCATCAAAACTGATGTACTACCAGGAAAAGCTTGGGTTTTGGCAAATCAGTATTTATCAAACCAGTTTCACAGAAAAATCTTCAAGCAGCTTCATTGCTGATGGAGACTTAATGAAGCAGAGTGCCTATTGTGCATGTTTAATTCTCACTGAATCATGGCTGTAGGCAAGGAAGAAAAACAAACTAGGCTACATCGTCCAGATATAAAAGTCACAAAACAAAATCTTCCAAGGGCATGAATGTTTTACAAGAAAACCCTGAAGAGGCACAAAAAAATATCCAGAAATATTCTGTTCTTTGAGGTGAGCACTAGTCAGATAATCTTAGTCTTGTGCATTGTCTATCAGGAGTCCAAGTAACTTTCTTGGAGATTTGCATAACCTTTGCTTACTTAATTTGCTTACTCTTCAGGTGTTAGTAGTTAAATGTCAACAGACTATAAGGAGCACAGACCACATGCTGAAACACTGTTCATCAAAAGGTGGCCATATCTACAGCCAGTTTTCATCATTTGTTGAGTCACAGATCCTGTGGTTGGACTGCAGGTCAATACATCCTACTTGTAACCATGGGCTGATTGAGCCATAAGTGTTGAGAGTCAGCTGGCATCCTTTCTGGCCCAAATTCAGCATTAAGGAGAACATTCCCCTTCTGTACCTTACTTTACTGAATGAACTTGGGAGCACCTGAAGAAAAAAAAAGAAAGGTAGAATATTTCTTTGATTTGGGATGTTAGATGGTTTCTCTTATGGTGTCAGGGGTCATGATGATTTGGGGTGTTTCATTCTGTCATGCTGGATACATCAGTCATTGTGGTTTGCAATGTGTAGGGGGGAAAGTAATCCTAGGGCTATTTTGTAAAATGTCATTTTTGGTCTTGACACCATGCAATGGCTACTTGAGCCTGTAAACACAGTCTCTACCAGTTGTTGTTCCTCTGATTAAGATATAAACAATGACTAGATTTTGATATGCCTCAAAATAATTGACAAAAACAGCCAACCTAAGGACAAAATTGCCCAAAATTTTATGGCTTAAATGTTTGGTAAACAGAGCTTGTAGAACTCTAATGATTATAGATCATCATCCAACATCTTGTTGGATGTTTGAGAGGCTTCATTAGCCTCAGCTGCATAGAAATTTATGCTCCACTACCAGCTATGATCTCTCTGGTTTCCTGCTGATGAGTTTGTCTCTCTGTTGAGTTGGGTACCTTGAGGGATGGTCTGACACAGGGATTACCTGGGAGAACCTTAGGTCTGCACTAGAGCTTACAACCCCTTCTTGGGATGCTCCTACCTCTCCTTTCCCACTCCTATTCCCCTCAGTTTTTAGCCCTTAAACAGAAAAGCTGACACAGGTCCCAGCTGTACGTATCTGCTGTGAGGCAGGAAGGATTTGGGGACAGCTGGTGCCCAGGGAACAGAACAACTTCTGTTTCAGCAGATTTCAGCACTGAAATCTCATAAGGAACTCGGATTGCAGACCACAGATTCAGAGATCTGCTAGATGCTTTATGAGGTGCACTACTGAACCCTGTACCCCATTTGGTACACAGACCTCAATTGCTCACTCAGGTAGCGCTACATTACAACTTTTTGTTTCTAACTTTTGCACTTAGCAAGAATGTACTGGCTCACCTTTGACATAAAGGCACCAGACTGTCAGAGAGTCCTAAGACAGATACTTATTGCTATTGTTTTCCTTGCAATCACTCAGAGAATCTATCCAAAAATGTAAGGCATTCACAAATGTATTCAGAGATGTGATAGGAATTAAATACTCAATGTGGCTTGTAACTATGTTTATCTAAGTGCAGCCTCTTCCTGTGTTAGAACAGATTTTTGCAAACAAGAGGGCAATGATTCAGTTCCAGAGGAAGACTGACAAAATAAACCCCAGTTTCTACTGACCTGATGCAGTGCTGAACAGTGTCCTACCCTGGGAAAATATTTCCTGCTTAATTTTCATAAATATTTATGTAATTCCTTCTGGGAAACATGTCTTCTTCAGAAAACTAAACATGCTGCTCCCTGACATAAATTTAACTGTTTGTTTACACATGAGAGATTATGGGCATGTACCCAGACTCAGATTTTTATATTCTTATTTCAGGCATTTCTGTCTTTTAGAGCTCTTCGCTCTCCTCCTAGAGATCACATCATATCTTGAGCTGTGGAGCCCATTTCTGGCTCTGGAGATTGAACATCCCTGATGCTCTTTGGAGAGTTGTTATTTTGGGCTGCAGAAATAGGAACCAAATATAATTTTCTGCCTGGAATCACACATCTGTCCTGCCTAGTTATACCACTCCCATTCTGGTTTGAGGCTCCTGTCTTAAAAAAATAAAAATCATGTAAGCAATTAAACAGAGGATTGCATGGCTAATGAAAGTATTTCTATTTAGAAACAGACCTGAGCACACATCTGTGAACTGAAATAGCACTGGTGTGCAGTCTTTGGTGTTTGCTTTCTAAGTTTATAGTATGGATTAGTGGCAAAGTGGTGCACAGGTCGCCCCAAGAGAATAGATATACTCCCCACCATGACAAACTGAAAAAGGTTGATTTAGCTCTCTTTAATATTTCTTAAGAGAACAGAAAAGTCGCTGACAATGCAACACAAACTGACACAGAACCTTGTACAAAGCCTTGGATTAGGGCAAAGCTGAGCTTTGCTTTCCAGCATGCTCGAAAACCCTTCCATGAAGTGGTGAACTGTGTGGGGTCCTCTGGAAAACGCCATGTGATGGGGGCAGACATAGTCACAGGAGATTATAGATGTTAGGCTTGTGTCCAGGAGAAAACCCTAAAATGACTAAGTGGAACATAGGTGATGTGCTGATCTGTGGGTTTTTTT